ACCCCCCGCATGTTTCTAATTCCAATAATAAATCTTGTTTAGTTACGAGTAGAAAATTATATACGATGAGACGCGTATTGCTAGGAATTGCCACTTTGAAAGAACAAAACCCGGATAAGGTGATATTTAATTATAATATTACTTCTGTCATTATTTTAATTGACACAGTCACTAAAAAAACTTAAAGTGGTTATGTAATTGACAATGACTTGTTTTATTTTAGTTTATATGTGGTATATTTTATAACATTTTTATAACATATTTTATGGTAGGGTTACTGGCATATTTGTATTATTTATTAGATTTTAAATCAGGTTTCTCTCATATTATTGTTGATTGATCATTCATGTGTGTTAGCTCAGAATGTTTGTATGTATCACTGACGTGCCCAAGAACTAGACAAAATTACATTTCACTTGCTTTGTGACAGTTATTACATGCTTCTTAATTTTCCAATGTAGACAATTTCATCTCAGCGTTACTTTTGCCATTACGATCTACTAAATACTCCAGCATTTAATATTAAATTCCAAAAAAATATTGTTTGGTTTGCGAATTATTGAAGTCTATATTTTTGGGGCAGTTCGCAGTGGCGGATCCAGAGGGGGCCAGGGGGGCCATGCCCCCCCCCCCAAACGCATGACGATTCGTATGATCTGGATTACGCATAGCTTCTCTGCGATTTACGGTCCGTATATCTTAAGCGTAGCTTGGACCCCCCCCCCAATACATTTTGCTGGATCCGCCATTGGCAGTTCGTCTATCTTGTGTTGCCTCATATGAGAGAGTATTCCTGTGAACTCTCCGAGTTGTTTGAGATCTACCATGAAAATATGAACGTGGCAAGCAATTAATTATATTCAGAATAACTGAAGATTTCAAATACAGTACAATAACTGATTCTGTATATTACTTTTTATTCTGGGAGAAAATAGAAATATTTTATAAATATCTAAATTTTGTTACCTTTTGGCATTTTGGCAGATTAAATTTGCGTTCTAAAACTGACACTATTTGCAATATTTCCTGGCAAATGTTTGTTTGATTTTTTTTTACCCAAAAATGTTTATCCCTCTCCCAGAACTTAAATGGTACACCTTTTACCACACATATATTGATTGAAGTATCTCGCTCAAAAAAGGAATCCTGGGAATTACTGGGTAACTCTCGACACGATTTGATTTACGATCAGACTTCACGCAAAAACTATACATTATCACAATTTATAGCGTGATCTCTCTCAACCACGAGACTGAAATATTTTCTTGGCCCTAAAAAATTATAATCTAGACATTGGCGAGTGACACACAGTTGTTACAATTAAGTATTTGCTATATAAGTTATACAATGCTCGTGGTAGAAATACGGCTATATTGGTTAGATACAAGTTGTATGGTACTCACCCAGGCTGCTTCTCACACGCCGTGTATCAAAACTAACAGGAATTGGTTGTTATTGTGTCAACAGAATCTGGACAGATGACATATTTTATAATTAGTTCTTCAACAAGGCCACTCCTGGGGTATCCAGTCGTTACGTCAACGACATTGAACAGGTCTTTTCCCAAAAAAATGTTCGTGTATATTTGGGCTGCCATACTTCATCAATTATGACAACCAGTCAATGTTACTACATTCTGGCACATTCTAACGCTTAATTAATACTGGGCTAATTATTTACTTAAGGCTTTCAATTTTTTACGCGTAATTTAGCCTGAACGCGTGATATGTTACAATTTTACCAATTGAATCGTCTAACTAATGAAAATCTGTTGATTTTGCTCGAAAATAACATTGCAAGAATAACTTTGCAGTAAAACTACTGGTTAATTATATAACATCACTATTTCTACTTACATGTTGGGCTGCAACGGTACATTCAAGTGAACTGTGTGATGTGAATCTAACCAGGGTGTTATTCACGCTTTAAATGGCTTGCAGGCCTGCTATTACTAGACAATAAAAGAACAGATGTATAAACATGCATCGACCCAATAGATCATTCACGTTTGTAATATCACGAAGGGGTGTAACCCACTTGCTCTGAGGGACGCGTGTAAATGCTGAAAAATATTCCAATTTTGAAGATATTGATTAAATGTCGATATATGTTTAATCATACGCGCACCGTCATGAAGTTTATTATCACCTGAATGTAATCCAACTGAATGGCATTGTTTTCGCATGCGTCCAACGTTCTACGGTTGTTTTAGCTATTATTATTACAATTATTTTTATGATAATAATTTATTAGTTTATTACTATTAATAGTTTAAGGATTTTGCATTATTTAGATATATCTGTCTGATTGAGTGAGAGTACTTGATACACAGATTCACAAGTCCAATTCACAAAACAATTAAATATCAATTAACTTCTTTATAGTTCGAGTGCCTCTGAAATTCCAAGTCTCGTTAAATTATAAAGCTTATTTGTTCGATCCCACTATTTATCATTTCAACTCTAACAACAATCGCACTGCCACTCGACTCGTGGTATGTAAATCTTTCAATTTATTTACTTGATAAATTTGAAAGACAGGAAGACAGAAACAAATCCTATGACAACAACAAAACAGCAACATTTAACTAAACTATTGTAAAATTCAAACTGTCAGATGCATTAAAAAAATAATGAAAACCAATTAAAATCAGCAACAGTGGGGGGAAAAGATAACAAACATTTGGCTTACAATAAAAAATGTTGTATTTAATGTAATAAAATTATATTTAATGTTAGCTTGCTTACAGAGGTGTCTAAGCGTTTACTTGGTGATCATAATCTAGAAATAAAATTAAGTAGAAGTATATATATATTAATCAATATTCACCTTTTCAGTAAATAATGCAGCTTATAGAACAATTGGGCAAGTAAGTTGTGCTAAAATCTATTGCGGGTTGTCCTTTTTTTACAATAACATCAATTTATTGGACATCAGCATTATACTGCTGTGAATAACTATTTTTATGTGGTCAAATATGCAGGTACTAGATGAATTAGATTTAATCAACATGTTATAGAAATAGATCCAATTGGAAAAATAAAAAGATTCTAGCGAGTTCATTGGTAGACAAAACAATTCAATTAATATGAGGTAGCATCGACAGATTTCATAATAATCATGTATCCCAATACGTAGATTCTAGATGAATTAGATTTTATCAGCAGGGTCGAAATATAACACAAAACGAAGGAGATTCGCCGACGAGGGACATTGGTCGACAAAACACTTCAATTAATATGGAGTAGCATTGACATATTTCATAAAGAACACGTGTCTCAAAAAGTAGGTTACATGTATTAGCTCAAACAAGAGAGGGCAAGGGTTATTTTCGTTCAACGTAATTGCAATATTTTTTTGTTCGTACAACGTAAATAGAAAAAATAAATTCCGTAATTATGTAATCACAGGCTAGACGTACAGCGTAATCAATCAAATATGTTTTCGTACACTGTAAAAATGTGTTATTTTTCTCAGTACGTACAAGAATCTACAACCAAATAAAAAAAATCGTAAAAAATAATCAGTAATAATCATAAGCACATGAAAATCCATATTTCGTTAAATTTCGTAAAGATCATCAACGTTTATGTGCCAGCAACGGGGTGCATGACATAATACAATACAATGAAACATCATAGTACAAAAACGTCTCATTATAATTAGGGTTAGATTCCCGTGATCATAAAATAGTAACATAAATCGGATATTTGTTTCAACCTTTCAATGATGTTGATTGTTCCAGAAAAAAAAGAAAATTAATTACATGGAACAACATTCTGTAATGTTGGATTGCATAAATATGAGAGTAAATATAACCTTTAAATGATGTTAATTTCTCTCATAATATATTATGCCATATGAACGAATATCAAGTTTTCCATTTTTGATGATCCAGTCAGACCTAGATGACGTTAGTTAACTCTTCATATAAAGGTACTCATCGCAGCGACCTACGGACAGGGGAGAACATACTCCAAATTTACTCTGGTTTTCTCGTCAACCATTAAGTATACAACATAGAAGACACAAAAGTGTCTAGAAGAATTCGAATGACAGTAAAATGTATACTCAAGACAGCTTGTCTATAAAACACTAACGGAATTTTTAAACCGAAGCTTTTTGAAGCTAATATTATTAATATCAAATCAAAGAAATGCGTGGCTTGGTATTATTTATATGGCTTAGAATCATTTCACATAATTATAAGTTTATTTGATTGAATTTAAGTTATTTTAACTGGATACAGGTCAATTAAATTGTAAGTAATTTAATTTAATTTAAATAAATTGATATTGAATTTTATTGTTTTGCAATTTAATTGAGTTGTACCACAGGTTCTAGTTCCGGTTTCGGTTTCACTTTCATGGCGCACATTTAGTTGCGAGCAACACTGCCCTGACTGGCAACATATGGGGGGTTCATGCTCTCGCCAAAATAACGCAAAGTATGCACGACTCTTTACAGTCTGAATGCAAGTAGTCGCTTGTTTCGCTTCTATTCATATAAGTGTTTTGGTTTACAGTTGATACCGAATTCTTGTTGAGTATTTATTACTGATTAAAAATCATCACCGCGTGTCACATATGTCACATGAATATTGTGTAAAATGTTAATGTATTTTAATTAATGTCGATTTATTTAAACTATTTTCGGTATCACTCGAAATTTCTCAGATTGTACCGTCTGATGGGCGTGACGATCCCAGATCATGACGAGGCTAAAGAAAAAGAGGTCTCCCAATTTATACTTTTTTCTTACCGCAGTATGAACATGCCGACGTGACCAGGCAGACAATTCAACCCGATTGAGCCAAAGTACACTTAATTGTTAGTATTTGTTATTGTTGGTATATTTTTGATGGTTTACAAGAGTCAAATGCTACTGTGATGAACTCTTGGTTGTACGGTTTATTGAGCGAACAAAGTGATGAAAGACACATCTGAATAGGTAGGCAAGCGCTATAAAATTATCGATTGTAGGCATAAATAAAACAAAAGTAATGGACAATCTATTCACGTAGCTCACTTGATGTTGATATATTTTGTGTTCAGCGTGAGGTGTTCTAATATGATGCCAATGCTTGTTTGTCTGATCACTTAAAATCATTTGAACTGGTAGCGCAAAAACACGAATTACAAGTAGTGGAAGGTCAAAGCTAAAAAAAGGCATTTCCTTTCATTTGCCCGTAATACTTTTAATATTTATCAAATAATCCTGAAACCATTATTTTAAATAGTCGATGGGTTCTTGGTATTTAATTTTTCCAATGTATTGAAATGCGTTTTTTTCATCAATGTTTTTCAGTTTCGCTGAATCCTTCATGTGAATTTATTATGTCTGAATGAGTTGTATCCATAATAATTAATTTCATTTTCATGTACAATATGCTGCTAAGGTTTTTGTTAAGCAAGAATACCTCATGGTGGGGTAATGTTACTGGGGTTGACTATTTATTTCATATAGTTAATTGCCTGTTTTTTGAATGAAGCAATGTGTTTTTTCAAATGTTTACAAAAAAACGAAAAAACGTGGACGTACACGTGCGATGGGGGAATTAATTAAAAATATCTCCACTCCATACGTCACAGCTATTATAATTGGCTGAATGTGTATAGCAAAGAGTGACAGTTGTAACTGAATACTCAACTTTTTTATTTGGGTCATTTTTAACGAGGACATTGTCTTGAATGTTCTGTTTTGATTTAAATTGTCTAATGGTAAAAATGTATTTGCCTTTGTTAAAGAAAGATGTGTATTTGATTTTTTTAAATCCCGATTTTAGCTTTTCCGTGTGTACTATTAGATGTAAATTTCAGATTCCAGAGTGTCTCGGCAGGTAAACCTATTTAAGATTTTGGTAAAAAGATTATGTCGTCAGTAACCTAGAAAGCGTTCAACGTTGGTGGCGTGGAGTACCTGTATAAAAAGGAATTCAAACGTTGGAATGAGTGAATGCAATGTATTGAAATTTCATGTATTCACAGTTGCAGTTTTTCTCCAATGTTTTTTAATTTCGCCGAGAGTTAGGTGGCCCTCTTTAACCGCATTACCTAACTTTATTACTTTACTGTCATTCGTGGGACCGTTTATATAAGTTTGAAAGTTGGAATGACAAATATGTGTACGGATACTAATACGTTACGAATTATATATAATTTACCATACAACATACCATCAGCAAGGCCCGTAAGACTATTTTACTGATGTAATATACCATCATACTACTAATCTGTGATACCAACTTCATTTGGTCATTGGATGGAATTGTTTCTGTTCACACATATTCCGACTACTCCTTTTGGGGCTCACTTTGAACAATCACTACCGGGGACTGTGTTATTTTCTTGTTTCATTTAGATGATATGTTGTTCCATGTGTGGATCACTGGTTCTGAATAACTGTTCAATCCGAGGAAAGATTTATGATGTGTTAGTGTGTCCTCTGCAGTTGGCCAATAGCTGAAGATAGAAGGATACTGCTTGTTGATTCGTCGTAACATATTTACTGTCTGGTGATATATCAATGCATAAATTTAAAGTATAGCGCCCTCTAGTTTCAGTTGTCAATTATTGTAATATATAGTATATATACGGTATGTTGGTAATATATGTTTTTCTTATCATATATTTATTTGAGAGTCAATACCATATACACTGTGGGTATCAATATCAGCAATAGTGTCTTCAATCACCAGTGCTGCCAACTTGGCATATTACCAATTTGTAACGTGCTATAGTTTGTCTTTTTATTATTTTAAGCGAACAACAAATTAAAGCTTCGTACTATACTATTAATAATAAGAAAGTTCTCAATAGATAGTAAAGCCTCTACGTCATATTACATGTGTACTTTGGGCATAACTTGATGTGTATTAATACATCATGTGTGATAATACAATTCATCATTCTGGGACATGCGACTAACTGTTTTGTTGGCATGTAGTGTTTGCATTGATTATCATGTATTCGACCAGTGTTGTGGAGTGAAAGGATGTCCTAGACTGAAACGTCGAATCAGAACATTCCCACCAACCTCTTTTTCGGGAATCGGCTACAATGACCAAACCAGTCTATGATGTCAGTCTATTTTATATGTCTGCTTCCACCAAAGTCGCCAATATAATTGATACAAACGTAATCTTGGCTTATCATTAAATACGTGACCATAGTTGTAGTTCTGCGCCCGGCTAGTGATGCTGTGCGCAAAGTAAAGGGCAGAACAGAGTCAAAATACTAAGTAAATGATAATCTCCAGGATGCACGAGTATCTGTATGTTTAAATAACAGCTTGAGCCTTTATCAAGGATAATCTGTGTAAATGCATTGATGCCAGGATATAAGATTGAAAAAAGTACTGTTCAGGTAAGTGTCTTTGCTAATACCATTGCGTATGACTCACGTCACGGACTATCCATTGACTGGCAATAGACCACTAAACAACCAATGCAAACATGATCTACACTGTGATACCTTGTAACATTGTTTACTGAAGTACCGGTGACGCGTGGATCTGGGAAACTCTCGATTAGACACTTCTAAATTGGCTGAGTTCTGAAAATATTGAAGGTAGAATGACTGACAAATATATGTGTTTTGTTTACATCGATTTTGTAGCAGTTTGAGCTGGCCAGCATGTGTGCTACATACATGTGGTTTAAAAAAAATTTAACAATATTTCGATCTTTTTAACTTTTGGCGAAATTCACCCAAACTAGTATTGTCGTCTAGGGAGTTCTAATTAGTGGTATAAGCCTTACAGGGACGATGCGTCTCTCGTGATAGTAATTTCCACTGCCGTGTTGCGTGTTTATAAGTTCCTAATGTGCCCGTGATTTATGTTTGGACGCACATAAAAAAGGTATTTTTTCGTGGTCGATACCCTTTTTCGAGAGTGATTTAGTGAGCTAGCATGTGAGTTAACATATTCAATTTTTGACAATACAGTTAAATTGAACGTAAATGTAAAGTCATATAGTTTATGTCTACAAACATTTAGGCATTGGTTTGGTGAGTTGATAAAGGGTTTGATGGAATAGTTGGAATAAAAAATAGGTATTTGGTTTGCACAAATAATCATGGCATTAGTCAGACCGTATACCAATGTATGATTGACATTGATCACGCATTGCATTTACAGCCATGTATTAAAATAGTGTGTTCAATTTCATTGCCTTAAATCTGCTATAATTGTACAATATAAACATTTTATGCTGATATATTTTATTGGAACTATTAGATACTTTGAATTATACTAATGAACGAATGGATATACTACTATAATTTTGCAGGCGTGCTTATCGAGTTGATTGGTCGGGAATCGATTCAGATACTGCCGCACTGAGAGTACCCATCTGGGTGGTTCTTGCGCCACTTATCACCCGCATCCTGCAATTCCTGTGACATGGGTTCGTAGCGACACGTGCCGGCTGCCAGTTGTTTATACGGAACTAGATTTCTGGGATCGAAAATGTGAGGAGAGGAGCATTCGGGATTTAATTGAGCCTCGTAGATGCAATCCAACAGTCTCCATGTCTCTACGCACGGCACCGAATATTTCGAACGCATGCGAAAAACTGTGTCGTGGACGCACTTTTCCCGGATGGTGGCCAAATGACACGGGCCTAGAGACTCTGTAAAATCAACATAGGAACAAAGTTATTTGAAAATAAAAAAAAAATACTTAAAATATATTTCTGTGAAAATTGATTTTAATCATTTAAAATATAATTGATGCGATCCACCGCCCATTTAGAATACGTAGCATTAACTCAGCTATGGTTTAATAAAAAAAACACATAGATACACATATTGTTTGTAATAGAATGTGATATTATTCTCGGATAATAGTTACAGTGGCAATTGGTAGTTTAAACGCCGTGAATTCACGAACACCGGGAATGAATTACAATTGTTATAATGCAGTTATTTTGTACTACTGAAGATCATAACGTAATGGGTTAGATATTGAAACTAATGTACAGGAACGCAAAATATTATGATACATGACATTTGGGATATATATATATAAGTAATGAATGGTATTCACACTTACCTGAAACTTTATTGTTGCATATCCCCCATTCAGTGTAATACGTAAGAGCGTCGTCCAGCTGATCGATGTTCGCTTTAATGTCCTCGCCACCGGGTGCGCCTTCGCAGTAAATTCCATTAAGACAATCTAACTTGGTCTGAAACGTATAGCGATGAGAACATTTTGAAAGTTAGTTCAGACAAAGTAGGATTCGGTAAATTTATGGAAATAAAAAAAAACGTAATATAACTCACTTTCATAAATTTGCAATATTGCAAGCCAGTGTTTTTGTGCCAGTTGACAGGGTTGTTCATGAACTCGTTACCCACATTATCACAGTTGTTTTCCAGGTGTTCAGTACATAACTGAAATGAAATCAACAAATAATTGTATCAATTCAGATGAGTAAGTATTATTGTCATTCAGTGAAGGACGTTTATATCATCACCATTACCCACCACAATAATATGCACTAAAATAAGCACAAAATATTCAAATAGAGTATGTGCTTTGTTTATTACATTGAAATTCTGTGTGTCTTACAATTGCATTATATTACTTTCAGTTATAACTATGGCTATCGCTGCGTGCCAAACGATCAATTTTACCCTGGTAAAACTATAATTATTTTACCACCACAGTCTGTATTCCTGCTTTTCCGTTCTGTGTTTAAATGTTTTTTCGGGTTAGTTTTATATGGTTTACTTTTCAGATAAAAAAAATTACCAGTAGTCATGACAACTACTTCTACTTACCTTCTTACTTGCCTTTATACCATACATTGCGGTTACCAGTATCAAAATTGGAAGATAAACTGATCTAATAACTGCCATGGTGATGATTAATTACGACCAATTTCTGCATAATAAATGAATGAAAGGTTTATGCAGCATAGTACCATGTAAGCGAGAATAACACGATAAGTTTGACGATATTTGCAAAGCAGAAAATCTAAGATCATTGAAACGCTGATAGGTTAATCCCAAATTGTTCTAAACTTCACAATTTTTGCTATTAAAAAAAATGCTTTATTCGGAATCGGCCTGAAACCACTTGCTGGGGTTACTCATCAACAACATCGCAATAATGTAACTTTGCCGTAAAAATGCATGTTAATTAATCAACACTATACACTATACTTACATGTAAGGCTGCAAACAGATATTCACATATACTATGCAGTGAATCTAACCGAGTAGACGATTAAATTGGTTTGCAGGCTGGTTATAACAATATATCATATATACGGTACTATTCACTATGCCAATATCACGAAGGGGTGTAGGCCCCCAAAAATACTTTATCTGAGGGACGCACGTAAATTTAAAAGAATATTCCATTGACGAATATAAATTAAGTGTAATAGCTGTTTAACTATACGTGTTCGTTGGTTATATTAATAATCCTATATTTGGATCAGAATATATGTCATTCGGCAATCACTTACAATAAAAAAAATGATGGCGATTTCTAACTTACAATTTGCGTTTGCATTATATTTAAATTTAATTAAGAATTTCAGCGAGTGTATATATTTAGACTTGGTGAGTGCTATCTAAAATAGAATTGCGTAGAAGAAGAATTTCAACAATTCTATTTTTTACAAATCTGTTTAATATATATAACTAAATATCAATTGTGACATATTCAGTAAATCATACATTAGCTAGAAACTGGAGGTAAAAAGTCAGCTACAAAAAGTCAGCCAACATTTGTATCTATATGTATGTGTATTTTTATTTTATGCAATCATTATATTAAACATGTGTATTCTACTTTGCAATTATAAAAACAAAAGATAAGTAATATAATATCCATTAACAATTGTTTCCTGAATTGTAATAATTCTGAACCATCTGCTTTTCTATATCAACAGCCAATTTGGTTCATGACACTTGTATTCAATTACATTTGTATAATTTGAATACTTTTTTACCCAGTCCACTTAAACGTGTGACACATTGAGACAGTTATTTAAATGGGTAGTATTTGAGGGTATAATATAAATTCTGTCTATTTACATTTGAGCATAAGATAATTGTTGATTACAATGCAATCCAACTGTTTACAGGTTTATTTTGAAGATGCAATTTACTACTATTAGTCGGGCCAAAAACAACATGCTTTTTAAAAATGTAGAGTAGGATTGTTTTATTTTTCTATATAATTGTTCTTGGTTATAACTGTGTTTCATCTTTATATCTTGATTAGGTAATTTTATTGTAACCACACAATTTGTTTCTCTTGGCCTCAGTTTGCATCCATATCGTGAAGAGCAATTACCTGACGAGCACCTCTACGTTTATCAATATTAGCACATGAAAAGCACTCCCGGTGATCGGTTAAATATGCCGTATTCTAGTTTATTTCCATTGATGTTCCATACGGCCATGTAAACCTAAGAAATATGTAGCTTGTAGCAAAAATATAACTCTGTTAATAGCACTATTTATTCATACGCGGAGTGATACATATTGTGTGATAGTTTTTACACGCATGAAGGCCAAGGACTGAACCCCATGACCCAGCCACATTGAGGGGGTTCGCGCAAACAAAGCAAATCAATTTGAATTGCAGATTGACAGCCATGCCCCTTCTAAGGTCCTAACATTATGTCTCTTACTGAAGTATTGAATCCCAGTAAAAGGAAGTAACCGAGCGATACATTCATACATTAACACTATATTACTACATTACACAGACTGTTCTTTTAGTCAACTACAAAAAAATGGTGTCAGTCACTCTTTACAAGTCAAGCCTGAATTGTGAAGTCCTCCATTGATTTAATTCTGGATACTGTTACCACACACTTAAAATGTAATCTAAAATTGATTTTAAATCCACCAGACACGATTGACACGTGTTTTCCCACAATTTTCTATCCCACAATCCTTTGCAAAATCCAATATAAAGTTAACATATTTCTTCCCTTACATAAGACAGCTGAGAAACGTGGATTACCAGTTGAATAAAACAATTGCAGAGAAAATTATGGCGCGTGTGTGTTTCGCCGAGTAAATATGTTCGTGATATACAGTGAATTATTATTGTATCACAAGCGTGAAATTTCATCTCAAATTTGCTTCCATCAAATTTATTGGAACTCGGAATATGCAATTTTTCTACGAAATGACAAACACTGACACGAAAGTTCCGAAGGATATTGCAATGTTCCAAGGAAAGTTGATAAGAAAATGTTCATGATCAGTGTGTTACGGTGCACTCTGTAATTTGTCACATAGTAAGAAATCAGTTATACTAGGCGTATTCGTCTTTTATTTAACTTCTATTATGCATTACACAGCCCGTTCATAAAGTGGATGAAGAACAGTGACCCTGTTTATAAGTGGCTTTATATACTTCTACCAATGAGACGTAGCGAGAGCAGTTGATTTCTTAGCGGTTACATTGTTTAACAAAAGAATTATCGGTATACACCGTAGTGTATTTCCTCCATTTTACGATCACGTCAAGTTAACACATTTTACTGATGTTTTACTTTTGAAATTTGCTGGTGGTTTGTAAAAGGTCCTGTGTAAATGTATCGAGCGGGTAGAATTGTGTTGACTCGTTTTCAAAACGCCGAACGGACTGGTATGTAAGATAATTATCTTAACTTCAAAAGTAAAAAGAATGCTGGAAACAATTTTACAAACCTTTGATTGCTAAAAATATAGTTAATTAGATATTGTTTGTTGATGTATTTCATGAATTATTACAAAGGTTTAAATCGTTACTTTCATTCTGAGGGTTCGTCCGATTTAGATGTCGCTTTGACTTCAAGCGATGTATTGACACTATTGTTGTTTTTTTTCTTTCTTTCTCGTTTTTTTTCTTTATTTCTCGGAATTTGAGATTTGTTGTTGTTCCAACATTAAGAAAACTGGGAAGCATTTTACTGATAAATTGTTGATACCGTTAGATTGGTTCAATGAACTTTTGAAGTCATGTAACCATGCTCAATTTCCAACCCTTGTTTTGAAATAATTGCCCGATGCCATGATAGAAGTAGTCCATCAGCTGGGTGGAGGGTAGTACTCATCACAGGGGACCAGCTGAAACCATTTCTAAAATTATCCTTGGACACTTTCTAGCATAAAAAAGTATGATAGCCATTGTCAAATAGTAGCTTTCCATAAAATTTAAGCTATTTTTTAATTAACAGATGAGAGAGCTGCGTCCAGGATAATTCTTGTCAAAGGTTGGCAAGAGGTCCTAATGATCTAGTAGTCATTGCTGCATATGGAAGAAATATCTTGAGCTAAAAATGTTTTTATTTAACCGCCAATAAAATTAGCTTAATTTTAAGGTTAATTTGCATATTAAAATGTGCAGGGAATTATGGGTAAATTATTCAAAATGGCGGCCTTTCCAGGAAGTGAAACATTTTTTGTTCAATAATGATCATTTTTCTGAAAATTTCAACTACTATTGTAAAAAGCTGTGCTGCTTGCATAGTTATATTATATTAATACAAGTTTTGCGTCGTTACAATGATTCTTCCTTTCAGTCATATTCTTCAAAATGTTACCAGATTCTTACAGAAAAAATTGAACATGTGTTATGCGCATGTACTTTTATTATAATAAACAGACTACTCAGAACATCTAGCCACACTTCCAACAACAACAAATCTAAAGAGGTAAGTGTAGAGAAGCTAAAATGCAGAATGATACACTCTGACATATCTGTTTAAAAACTGATGAACCCTGCAAAATAAAGTGTATGTACAAACAAGCAACCTTGCTTAATTCAATAGAGAAACAAAACTGCCAAAAGGCTCATAATCAACAGAAATACCAATGCAAAATTCTGCAGTGGCAGATGCTAACATTATCAGTTGCTTGCTTCTTGTAATATCAATCATTTATATTGTCTTCATCTTCGTCTTCACTATCTTTGGCATCAAAGTATTCTTCTGAAGCCATATGTTCACATTCTATCCTACACATGTCCGTGCATTTCAATCCGGCTCTGAGACAGCAACATGATTCCAATGTGCACTTTCTTTTACAGTCACAAGAAAGAAATTCTAAAATTTCATCTGGAGCTGGACT